TTGTTGATAAGGTTGTGTTCTTGGAGACTGACAGGATTCAGCACGGTGAGATTTGATGCTTCGTTTTGAACCCATGGCGATCCCATGTAGTCGTCGGGGTTGAGGGTAACCCTTGAGGAGAAAAATGCCTTGTCGATGGCATTAATAAAATCACCTTGAAACGCAGCCTCTGGAGTTGCTTGGCGTGGTTGTTCTTGTTCTGGTAGTGGTAACGGCTGAAAACTGGAGCGACATTCTTGTAAAGGTGAAAAAGACGTTGGAACAGAAACATTCATCGGCGTTGGATTCGGCATTTGCCGTGGTTGGTTGTTCATTGGCGCTGTCTGAAAGATCTGTTCGCTAGGAAAGGTCACATTTGGCGTGCTTGCTGTAACATAGTGACTGCCCTCGGAAAAAAATTCAGGGCGAGTCTTTTCTTTATTTTGATGCAGGGAGGAGTGATCTTTTGCAAAATTCATTTTAGGAGCTCGAATGAAATTCGACCATGTGTTATTTTGCCTTTTAGCTCGCCGTGCTTCCTTTGGCTTGTCATGTTGTTGTTCTGGCTGCATATTTTCTTTGGGTTTGTCAAGCTCTGTTTCGATGGACGGCATCAATGTGGAATTATCTGAGAATAATAACAAAAAAATACTTATATATCATACAAAGCAAAAACACCGTTGAGTATCGACGCTAGGAAAAACCTTTTATCTTTTAATGTGATCTAAATAACACAGCGTAAGAGAAGTTCTCTGCGCCCATTAGGTACAAATAAGAAATGGAGAAATGTCTCAAAAGTGACCTCACCTTTCATGAGATGTATCTCAAGAGAACGTTTCAACTTTTTATCCATTTCCACAATCATCTGGTTTTCGACCACAAGGAATACATATTCCTCAAAAGCAGTGTGCATCAAATGAAATACACCTAATCACAGGGAAAAAAGAGCGACAAATTTTTAGATAACTTAGCTCAAAACTACCAAATCTGAAATTTGCAGCTCTGTGGTACTTGCCATTTCCTTCACCGAGTGAATAAAGCGAAAGACTCACCCATTAGGTACAAAGGTGCCTCCAACATAATAAACTTGAATTAACACCAAATGTGACAAAGAAGTTAGATGAGATTCATTGGCTGTTTCATGTGAATAAATTGGTTCTTGGTTTCGTGAAAGTGATGCTTGTAACAGAAGTTGCACTTCAAGTGTAGCGAAGTTATCGATATACTATAGGCTTTTAGGATCAACAGAGACAATGGGAATCAGTTTAAGCTGTTTTCTTTTGGCTCAGATTGCCCGGATATCCCTAATGAGGTAAGGCGAAAGTCACAATTGCTCCATAAATTTACCTTAGCCTTTACTGCAATGAGTGTCCAAAACAAACACATTGGAATTTTGCTGCTCAAAACGAAGCAACCTGAAAATAGGAGTATCTTACCAAAACTCGGAGCACTTCTTAGCGTCAAATCAGCTAACAATCGTGCGGTAATAAAAGACCACATGGCAAGAAATTTCCTTGCTCTGTCTTCAATAGAAGTCTTTTCTGATTCCTGTGGATGACCCTAAAAGAAAAACGGCTTATTAGCTGTTGCAATAGGAAAACCAAACGTGTCTAGCTTTAGAGAGAAACACAAATAGCTAAGAAACGTGAATTTACATTTCTATTGTAAAGTCAGGACTGGATAGCTTTCTTTGTATTTTCTGTTATAGTCTAAATCTTATGCCCCATTCACACAGCCAAAACATGTTAAGTTAAACTGAAACAGCTTAAAAATTTGTTTAAGCTTTGGTGTGAATGAGGTATTACTCTTTTAAGCCTAAACCTAGTTTTACCAGGGCGAAGGTGTTAGCTTTTTTGAAAACTAAGAGAATCAGAGGAAAGGCGGGAGAGTGAGCCGCCTTCGTACAGACCTTATCTCAAAGAGTATTACTCTTAAGCTACATTTAGATCGATTTCTGTTCAAGGATAAAGGGACTATGTAAAAAAACAAATTAACATTTGCGAGCTGCATATATGGGTCGATAAGAAAATCCACTCCGAGTTGATGCATCGATTTTTATTTAATATTTCTCCCTGAATACAAGGTAACATGAAAACAAGGTAACATGAAAACAAGGTAACATGAAAGTAGCTTTAGAAAAAGTCATATATTCATTATTCTCTCTGTTCTCTTCAAACAACTGACAACGTCGCCTGATTCAAATCAATTCTACGTCTCCTTGTTTTAAATTATTAAAGAATTCTAAATGAACACCTTCAGAACACATCGATCCACCACACTGTCCAGCCATTCTATTTACGCTTCCAGTGGTGCTTGTTTACTGAGGAGATTTTCGAGCTCACTGACATCTGGCAATTACAAAAGGAGACAACTATTATTAAAAGCAATTGTTTAGGTGCTGGGCAATTCTGTAGAGAGTTGTAAAGTTTTCTTAGAGTCAGCCTGTGGCTTTAAAAGCAATAAAAAGCAGGAAAATACCATTTCCGCTTTAATGGGAGGGAAGACAGCTAACTTTTTAAGTTCACAGTCCAATCGTTTAGTTGAGGGTATCCCTCTTTGAATGCGGCAGAAAAGAAACTTTCCTCTGATAAACACTTTTAGGCCTACTCTGGGACCTTAAGTTGCCTCAAGTCGCCTTAAGTCGCCTTAAATCGCCCAAAGTCGCCCAAAGTTACCGCGACTTAACTCCCCAGAGTACCCCTACTTTTAACTCAATGAGATCTTCTTAGACCCCTGATCATTGTGTCATTGACTGTAATTATTATTTTCAACAGCTTCAGTTTCTAAAACGAGGGGACTAGAGAAAAAAAAGAGATAACACTTACATGTCTTAGTTTTGTGAAATACTTCCATGTTTTCAATAATGAAGAAGCTTTTGGAAAGAATTTGATCAAAGTCGATTTTCCTTAGGTCACCCAACATCTGAGAGACATCCTCGTAACTCAATAAAGCTGAACGTGCTGCCTGCAGGAAATAATTCCAAAAGAATTGCGTCAAACAAAATTAAAATTGGGTAAATCAGTAAGATGAAAGTTGCGAGACCGTAAAGGTAGTAAGGTAACCGTTTATCGCGAGTGTGGAAGAAAAAACAAAACAGTGCAAAAAAATCCTGTGCGAAGATTAGGATTCGAACGTGTGGTTATGAGATGCTTTACCGCTTAGCTTTTCTGGGGAGGGTGAGAGATCTGATGAAAGAAAGCTTTCAAACTGACGGGTACCGACGGACAAAGGCTGTAAATTCCATTGTGATGGACTGACATCCCTTACAGAGATGTGTTTGTATTCCTAGTCATTTTAGGACACCAAAACCAGGCAAAAGCAATGTAATTTATCAAGGCCATTTAGCCTGGAAGATTTTCAAAGCATAGAGAACAGGTAAGCAATATCTTGGGTCGATATGTAGTATATAGACTTTGTAGGTTCTTGTATACAAATCAAAAGCCATCTAACAAAGGTAAAATTAATGTTTACATACCTGTGCAAGGTGAACGAAGCAAACTTGTCTTTTTAACGCTTGAGTAAATATTCTTGCAACTAAGAATTCAAATTAGGTTATTTTATTTGATTAATGATTATATCATTAATCAAAATTGTGAAAAAGTTGTGCATTATTAGGTTATTTAAGTATGATGCACGATCCTCGTAGTAGAGAGCGCTATTTATGCAATAGCGAAAATCTGAAAATAATCAGGCCTGTACGGGATTCGAACCACTGACCTCTGCGATATTAGTGCAGCGCTCTACCAATTGAGCTAACAAGCCAACTGGGAGCAGGCCGTTAAGTTGATTCGTAATAAACCCGTGATGATAAATCACGGATACAATGAATATATGAACTTCATATATTCATTGTACCTAGGTTATTTAAGTTTGCAGGTTTGTTAGTTAACGGATAGATGAATAACGATATGTGCCTACCTTCTAACTTTGCATTTTTCAGTGCAAGTGGCACCTCAGTTAAAGATTTTTCTAGCCAAGCAAGGAGGCTGTCGGCAAAGTCAATTATTTCTTCTCTGAGACTAAAAATCGAATTGGTTTGATTATTTTCAAGAAAATAGGACAATAATAGCTGCAATTTTCTTGGTTTTATTATTTCATCTTTTGTAACGTACCTGTCTGGAAGATCTTGAATGGTTGAAGGAATAAGTACATCCGTCAAGACCTAAAGCCCATCAAGTCAATCAATTATTCAATTATACAAGCATTCGAGAAATATTCAATAGTTATAAAGATTTCTAAGCTCCTCCTTTAGTTACCCTATCTTCCTTTTAGTTAAGAGAAACACTTATAACTTTCCACTTTTTTTTACCTTGTATAAAATTGAGTCACAAATGGCCACAATGTCAACCACAACAGGACACTCTAGCACTGAAATTATATGGTCCGGCATGCCTTGCCAGAAGTGAGTGATAAAATTCTGAACCTGCAAAATGACAAATGAAATATAAGAGAAAAAAAAATTACTAAATTTTCACAAACGTATACTATGATATGAGGTGGAACTAGTCTCTGTCAAAAGCGGTTGCGGAATGTTCGAAACAAGTCGACCAGGTTGATGCTATCATTTCAATAACAAAAAGATAGAGTACGAGGAAAAAAACCATTGAGCAATTTCAGAGCCACTATTTACTAATAATGACTTCTGTGTTACCGTTTCTGGTACGTTTTGCTATTTTTAAATTTATTGAAATAACTTACTCCCTCAAAGTTGGCGCTGACAACAGTATCCAGCATTCTCTGGCAGTGCGTTCGGTACATCATGATGAATGTCTCTACCTGGTAAGAAGAAGATACAGCAAGATTATCGCTTTTAAGGCTACTAGTCTACAATAACTCCGAAAAACTTGTCAATAAGAGTGGAAGTAAAATATTTAGTTTAGTCTGTGTGATTGACATCTAACCTTGTGGTTAGAAACTCCATCCGGTAATTGGACAGTTTTCGCGTTGGGGAATTCAGGTAAAAGAGTTCCAGACTTGGCACTGAGGGAAAACTTCTTGTGGTTTGCGTTCTGGTGGAAAAAGATATCAGGGGTAAGCTTGACTTCACATAATGGAATTTTCTGCACTATCAGCTTCACTGCCTTAACATTGCTGATTGTAGGTTACACATTAACTTAAAAATGTGAACGTAATTCTTTCAATCTTGAGTAAAGAGAGTAAGTTTCTAAAGAAACTGTAGTGCTGCGTCGGTGGAGGAGGGGA